AGTGCTTTGGCTTTTATGAGGAGAGGAACCAGAGGCAGGAGGTGATATTTTCCACTCTGGATGAAGACTATAGTTTCAGGGCATACTCAGAGGAGAGGCTGTGTGAGAACCAGCGTGTCTGTGGGAGCCCTGAGGTGGTGTCCTGCCAGAGCACCTGCAGCGAGGAGCGAGTGCTGAGCCCCCTGCCACAGCTGGACGTGGAGGTGGTAGAGGAGGTTCTGCCATCCCCCCCATCTACTCCCTCCAGCACTTACATTGTCAATGTAACTGACAGTGATGAGGAAGAGGAAGTAAAGTTTTTTCAAGTATTGTAATTTTTAAAACTTATTATAATCCAAAGAGATATTATAGAATGGGAAATAAATGTTTTCCTCAACACAACTTTTTCAGTCAGCGTGTTCAATGGGAAACCCAGGTAGCTTTAGTAAGTTGCACAGGTCCTCATCTTTTGAAGAGTCTGATGAGCTGTTTGTGTAAGGGGAAAGTCTTATAAATAGCACAAAATGCCTGTTCATTTCTAAATTCTCACTGAAAGCTGATATGGCCTGCAGGAATGCATGTGGCCAAATGTACAAATCCCTCCAGAAGTATGTTTTGGGGTATAAAACAGCTGTTTGTGAGATTATTCTCCAGATCTAACTTCCCTCTTCTCTCATCTTTCTTTTTATACCCCGTGGAGTAGGATATCAGACATATTTCAATGCACCAGAATCTAGAATGGTGCAATGTTGTGATTTATTCTACCAAGGCCAGAGAAAGGGAAGACTGGTTTAACATATCCTGGATATACTAATGGGAAACTACTTGTGAGGGTGATCCCTTCTTCCCTCCCAGCTAGAGCTGATGTCCTGGAGTGGTTGTGAGGGACCTGTGTCTGCAGGTCTGTGTCACTGCAGCCAGCCCTCAGCTGAGCTCTCTTGAAGGCTCTTCTGTCTTGTCTACACCAGAAGTGAAAATTACACAAACAACCCACTCAAACCTGGCTTCCTCTGCATCATCCCTCAGCATGTCTGGTAGCTCTGCAGCCGGGAAAATGTGATAGAAGAGGTTTTTAGTTCCCATTTCTAGGTGATTTGCAGTTCACCCACAAATCTTCCCGTCATGCAGATTCCTGAAGTGCCAAGTATCTGTGCTGTTACTTCTCCTGAAATGTGGGAAGTGGCTGGTGTTGGCAGGGCCAGTGCCTTGGTGGCTGTGTGCCCTCCTGCAAGTCTTCATGGCAGTGCAGAGGGTAATTGGGACATAAAAGGGACATGTTCTACTCTCTTATAATTATTTTCTTCCTAACTGTCCACCTTAATCTAAACTAAAAGCCACCTTGCTTCCTTCTCAGCTTGAAAAACAGATGAAGATTTTCTGTACAAAGTTTGTTTTCCTCCTGCTACTGTAAAAGTCTAAAGACATTTGATGCTTCCCAGTACATCACTCATCCATTTACAAAGACAACTTTCTTCTTCTAAATTACTGGATAGTTTTATGGAGTGGATGTTATTAAAAACCCTTGTGCTGTTATGCCTGTTTCCCTTTTCTTATTAGAATTAACAATTTCAATATAGGCACTGTTGTGTTGGAGAGGGTTGCAGGCAGCACAGACAGGATTAGAAGTGTTTCACATGTGGAAATTGAGTTAAAAGATGTGTCTGCAAATATAATCATCTTCAAGTTCACTTGCCTGTTGGAATGAAGCAAAAGTCATAGCAGAAAGTGGTAGCAGTGACCCACCCTTTAAAAGAAGCACAGGGAGTGCTTTGATACCCTTCTGCTATCAGCACATCAGGACAAGCCCTTGTCTAGCTCCTGATCATCTTACAGCACTTCTCCCTCTTTGGCAGGACAGCTGCTCCAGGGCCCTTCCAAATATTCCTGCTGTCCTACATGGGTGGTGGAAAAGCAGAGCTGAACAGAATATTCTGGGTCAGCTGAAGCTGCTCTCAACTGTCAAGACACTGGATAAAGGAGTTAATTCTTGAATCTCCAGTTTCCTTCACTGATTCACAGCCTCCTTCCTTTGATCATTTCAAATGATCTGAACTAGAAGAATGTTCTGTAAAATGGGAGATTTCACATTCCACTCGAGTCAGCCAAAGTTGTAACATTTCTCTCATCAGTGAGAGTGTGTGTAGTGCAGAGGTTAGGCAGGACAGTCCTCTCCCTTCTCCCTTCTCCTGCTAAGGTTTGATTCTGGGAAAAGTTTCCTTCAGTGTCAGCAGGAGTCTTCTCAGAGCACTTTGTTCCACAGCCTTTCCTAATAGAGTTCACATGAAATATTACTGAGCTGTGGTACATGTCTCTGTCATTCTCTGCTCAAGTCTGGTTCTTGAACAGGCATTTTCCTCTCCCTGGGTCCATTTCTGTCTAAGTGCCTAATTCCTGATTTACTATGAACATAAAGGGACAATCCTCATCTTTTGCACTCCAGCTATCAACAATAGCATTAAATCATCTTGAAAATTTGTCAAGCAAGTGCAGCACCCCCTCTGCAAAAGCTCTGTCATCAGCTTTGCCCTGGGGAGGCTGAAACACCTCACCCTTGCTCTGGCTGCTGCATGGAGGCTGCTGCTCCATGCCTTGGCCATGGGGATGTAACAGATGAGGGAACAAAGCAGATTTGAAATTCCCAGCTGATACTCCTAATCAGACAGTTTGGATCCTGGAGGAAATGAGTCTGAGCCTGTGTAATTCTTAGATAACCAGGAGTCTGACCTTGTTCTGTGAAATCCAGCAAGATTTAGGGGAAGAGCTTTTGAAGAGGTGGGCACAGGCAGGATCTGGGATCTGACTCACCCTGTGCCAGAAACAGCATTACAGCACCTGGGCACTGTTAATAAGGCTAAAATACCCTGAATTTTTCTATACAAAAATGTCTCAGTAATGTAAGTAATATATTTTATATATATATATATATACACACACATATATATATGTATATATGCATATATGTGTGTATATATATATAAACCTAAACCTATATATAACCACTGCACAGCCTGTCATTATATTTTTATACAGGGAGTTTCTGGTGGTTTTAAAGTGAGATATCCGTTCTCATATTACCAAGATCCAAAGGTAAAAATATCACTATATAACAAATGCAAATATTACACATATTTTATTTTTATGATACTTGACTGCTGAAAACAATCATAACCAGATAGTTGTTGGCCTATGTATTTTAATAATCTTAATATAAGGCTCATTTTATTCCATTTTGTGCTTTTTTGAGCTGATCTTCTTTTAGAGAAATATATAGCTAAATTTGTGTCTAAATTTGGCTTGCATTTTTACTTATTTATAATATAGACATGCACAATAGTGGCATTGTTTTCTTCTATATTACAGGCAGCTATAAATAAGTAGGGGAATTCACAGGAAAATAAAAATCAAGATTTCCCTTCAGGATATTCCATATGATTAGAGAGGAGCTGAAATTTTCCCCCTGCATTTTTTGCTCTTCGAAACAAGAGGATTTACTTGTGCCGTGAAAATTCATGACCTCTCTATGGGCCAGCTAAAATGTCACTTATAGCCCTCTCACCCTGATTATTCCCTCTAGGTGTCCCTACCGTGCCTGACTTTCCTCTGCCAGGGTGATACCAGGAATAATCTGACCTTCACAGGATCAGAGAGATTCAGTTTGTGCAGTGCTGGGGGACAAAGGGGACATATGTGAGATATAAACTAAAATGGTACCTGCAAAAGGGAACAGTCACCTTTCCTTTGGGCAGCCCTGGCAGGAGCCCACAAAAACCTTCAGCATAAAATATATTAAAGTTTTCAATAGCATAAATAATATTCTGGACAAGAGACAAAATCATTACTGTTATCTGGCAAACCTTGATTTTGAAGGGAGTATTCACTTCCTACCAGCCTGATTTACTTATACACTCTACCCTTAACCTCTCCACATGCAAATTGTCCCCATTTCTCGTTTCCCTGGTGGTTCACCTACACAGACAATTGAAGCACAGAGATGAATAGAGTGGAAAATGCAGATCAATGTCTGTCTGAAGAGTGTGGTTAAGAGGTAATGGCTCTTCCTGCCACTCGGGGCTGACCCCATAAAAATCCGTGTCAGCCAAGCCTGGCAGCCTTGAGTGGGGCTGCAGCTGAGCTGGCTGTCACTCCCTGACACAGGACAGGCAGTCTGTGGGCTCAGCGTGTGCAAGGAGCTCCTACAGCACCATGGAGTCCCCCAGTGTTTGCAGCTGGTACCTCGGCGTGGCCCCACTAGCTTGGGCTCTCCTGTCCTGCCGTGACCCCGACCCCAGGGGCTGATTCAGCAGCCGTGCACCCCCCAGGCGCTCAGCTCCCTGAAGGGCAGGGATCCAGCAAAGAGGCGATGTGTGGACTTCAAGCCTTGGCTCAGCCCTGAAGGATGCAGGAGAAGACAGGGATGCTCCTTCGGGAGCCTCATGGCAGGATATATCCCCGTGGATATCCCTGAAGGGCAGCACTGGGAATACGAGCTCTGGATGTTCCCAAGTCCTTCCTCAAGCCTGGCCCTCCCATCGACCATAAAGGGGAGAGCGGCAGAGAACATCCTTTTGCTTCTGCCCTTTTATACAGGCACATAAAACTCTATCCTGTATCCTTTCCAGTATCCAAGAGTAATGTATTTCGCAGAAATTTAGGATGTCTCTGGAACCATGGAATCAGCTATGATAGGATTGCACATAAATACAGCAAACAAATAAATAAACAGCTCTTCCTTCCCCCAGCTCTCCCCTTTTTCCTAGCTTTGGAAGCACAATGGATTTCCGCGCTGGCGAAGGCGCTGGAGGGGAGGTTTTGCAGAGGGAGCCCCAGGGAGTGCTCGGGTTTCCCCCTGCCCCGGAGCGGGCACAGAGCCCGGCGGGGCAGAGCCGCTGGACCACCGGGAGTATCCCGGGATGTGCGGAGGGAGAGCAAGAGAGGAGGGGGCTGCGGGGCGGACGGAGCCCGGAGCGGTGGGAGGGGACAGGCGGCGCCGGGCGGGTTTATAGGGCGGCGGCGGCGGCCGAGAGCGGTCCCTGCCCGGAGCCATGCGGGGCCGGGGGCTGCTCTGCGGCATCGCCCTCTCGCTGCTGCTGCGGCCGCCGCCCCGTGAGTGCGGGGTGCCCTTTCCGAGTGCGGGGTGCCCGGCCCGGAGCTGTGCGGCAGCGCTCCGGCTGCGGGAGCGCCCGGGGAGGGAGGCTGGGAGGATGGATAGATGGATGGATGGATGGGTGAGTGGGTGGGTGGGTTGGGGCATCCTCCTGCTTTTCCTACAACCAGCGCAGAGCTCCCTCTCCTCTCCCGCCCCGGCTCCGTGCTGCCTGAGCCCCGGGCCGGGATGCTGAGCCGCTCCCCTTGTCTCCGCAGCCGCGGCCGCCGAGGAGCGGCCCCAGCCCGAGGTGGTGGTGCCGCGCTGGGCAGCCCCGGGTGGCCCCGGCAGCCCCAAGGTAGGTCCAGCGCTTGGTCTCTGTTTTGTTGGCGGACCTGCCTTTGGGGGCAGGGGGTGTCGCGGGTGGCGCAGCACCTGGCGAGGCGCGGTTGGGCTTTGCTAAGCCGTGGGGATGAGCAAGGAGCTGCCATGGCTCCTGCAGATCGCAGGAAAGGCTGAGCGAGCTGGCTGGTGCATCTGGGAACTGCATTCAGCCTGCCTTCTGCTGTGCCTTAAAGCCTCGGTCTGTGTCTGTGAAAGGGGAGCGGGGCCGTGCATTTAGGTGGCATTTAGGGAACGGCTGGATAGAGTGAAAGGGGAGCGGGGCCGTGCATTTAGGGAACGGCTGGATAGCAGGATCTGCTGTAGGAGAAGATAAGCCCAGAAAGCCATCTGTGTCCTGGACTGCACCAAAACAAGTGTGACCAGCAGGTCAAGGGAGAGGATGTGACCCTGTGCTCTGGTCAGGTGAGACCCCACCTGCCGTGTCTGGGATCCCCAGCACAGGAATGATATCGACCTGTTGGAGCCAGGGCTGGGCAGTGAAGATGCTCCAAGGGCTGTAACATCTCTCCTATGAAGACAGACTGAGAGAGTTGGGGGTTGTTCATCCTGGAGAACTCTCTGGAAAGACCTTGTAGCATCTTTCAGTACCTAAGAGAGCTACAAGAGAGCTGGAGAGGGACTTTTTACAAGGGTGTGGATTGACAGAACAAGGAAGAATGATTTTAAGCTGAAAAAGGGCTGGTTTAGATTAGATATTTGACAGAAATTTTTGACTGTGAACTGACAAGGCACTGGGAGAGGTTGCCCAGAGAAACTGTGGATGCACCATCCCTGGATGTGTGCAAGGCCAGGCTGGATGGGGCTTGGAGCCATCTTTCCTAGTGGAAGGTGTTCCAGCCCGATGGCATGGGGGTGGAACAAGAGGATCTTTAAGATCCCTTCCAGCCCAAACCATTCTCTGGTTCTGTGAATCCCAGCTGTGGGGGTGCTTCACTAAGTAAGAAAAGCCAGCCAGCAGCTCAGGTGGGTTTGGCTGTGCCTCAGACACTGTGTTACTGCAGCTCTCACCCCTGCTGCTGTTCCATGGGTGGATGAAGGGATATCTCAGCAGCCTCCAGACTCTGACAATCACTGAGGTCCAGATAACATCAAACACAAAACACAGTTCCCTTTCCCAGGCTTGGTGTTGCTGCAATCAAGAAGTAATTGCAGTTGTGAGATTGACAGAAAGAGGAAAGTCCACAGGGTGTTTTTTACATTGTGAACCAAAAAAAAAAAAAGGAAGCTCAGCATTATGGAGACATGTCATTTTTCTTGAATATAGTGGTGTTATTTGGGAATTTACTAATGGGTCTTTTCCATAATATGAGACTTTCTAAAACTTATCATTGTGTCCTATAACACACAAAACCCTCTACAACGACTCTCTTGTGATCTCAGTTCTTTTCAAAATGCCCTTGTGATACTGCCTGCAGGTTTTGGTTCTGTTATTGATAGTGATGCAAATACATCTGGAGAGCATTTCCCCTCACATAAATTTGCTGGGTCTCAGGGGTCGCACTTGGTTTGTTTCAGGCAAGTTCCCATTGGCTTTGAAATGAGTGTTAGCAAAGCTTATATACAGCTGGGATATTTCATTTACACAGCAATTGATGGACTGAAGCAGTGGGATTACTGAAGCAGGAGGGAGGGTGATATGAGTAATAATGATGTTAGCACAACCTTTGTGAAGAGATTTTATGGTGATGGAGACCCTCAGCTATTGGCAAGGCAGCCTTACAGTGCTTTCATGTTAGTGACTGAAGCACAGACCTACCCTCAGATGAATTGTGCACCTGTGATTTAGTAAAAGAAGCTCTGCCTGTTGCAATTATCCCTTTTTGTATATCCTAAATGTATTAATTTGCTTTGCATCATCTGCGTGGGCCTGATGCCACGTCCTGGAAACTGAAGGATGAGCAAAACCCAGAATATGAGCAGGGAGATGATGAAAAGAAATACTTATATTTGCTGAAATGGCAAGTGAGCATAACTCGGGGCTGACAGAACATCCCATTCAGTCAGTCTTGCTTTCTTTAATTTTCAATGTTCTGTTCCTCAAAGTCTCCTCCAACACTGATTCAGAAAATACTCGGGGTTAATAATTTCACCAACCCTCATGATTTCTTTATTCTTCCAGCTGAATAAAGTGCACTGTTATATTAATATGAGCTATTTCTCTTCTGGGGAATTTCTTCATCCATTTTCTCTGTGAGAAAGCATTCAGACTTGGAAACCCCAAGCTGACTTTACTAGTTTTGCTTTGAGGGGGGTAAAACTGCAGACCCCAGAGCCTCTTTTAGTTGCGCCTCTAAAAATCTCATTCTATGCTTTAAGCCTCTGGAATTATTATTATTTTTTTTTTTAATTTTTTTTAATGTTGGGGTTAGTGTATGCATTTGGCATTGCACTAAGAAATTGAGGTGCATTCTGTTCAAAGCAGCAGGCTCTGGGGAGGCCTGAAATTCTGTCTGTACAATGGCTGGGGTCTGAAGGCATCCAAGGGTCCCTGTTCCCTGCCTTTCACTGGCACTTTCTGTGAGTAAAGGAATGAATGAGAATCTCTGGAAGAGGCGTGATTCCTCTTGTCCTGAAATAGGCTCCTAAAAATGTCTTTCTGCTGTGACAACAAAGGAAGCTTTGGTTAACTAGCTCAGACATTTGACTCTTCAATCTCTGGGGGCAAGTCGTGTGATGTGCTGAGCACAATCTAGAGCAGAGGGACATGCAGGGAGCTCTTCCCATCCAACTGCACCTCCAAACACTCCAACACAAGGACCTGTTGCCTTGCCTGAGCACTGTATTCCTCCTGGGATACCAGGTGGTGTCTCTAGCTCAGGTACAGCAGCCCAGCAGAGGCCTGCACTGCTTGCTGCCTCAGCATGGCTGTGCTGTGGATGCAGCAGCCTGCCGGGAGCTGGGAGCCACCCTGGTGCATCCCTTCCCTTCCCCACCACTCCAGCTCTGAAGCAGGAGGAAGGTGAGGGGTGGTTTGAGGTCAGCTGCCATTTCCAGTTTGTATTTGTGGATGTGTTCATAAGGATGATGATGTATGAGTAACAGGCACCCTCTCCCCTGCACACAGCATCCACCCCGAGCTGAAGTTACAGTGGAGGCAGAAGGCCAGGAGCTCGTCTTGGAACTGGAGAAAAATAGGTAAGTGTGCTTGTGCCCTGCATTGTGATCCCTCTTCAATAATGAATAAGAATTACAGTGAGGTCAACAGGAAAACCTCCACTGACTTCAGCAGGGTTTTGATAAAGACAGGATGTGGAAGTCCTTCACTGGATTTCAAGGTTATTCTGAGTCCCCTCAGATGTTAATCAGCCAAGGAGCACATTATAGCAGAGCTTTGTCAGCAAAAAAACAGATGGTGACCTGGCCCTCAGTGTGTAAACTTATTTTTGCATCATAATTCTTCCTACATTAACTGGGAAATGTTGTTGATATGAAGCTCCCTATTTACCAAATGGCTCAGTGCTTTAGAGTCAGCGTGACTCTAATGAGGATTTCATTTGCTGTGATCCAAAGAGGTCCTTTTCCTCTTCCTAGAAGAAATGATCTGACAGTTTCAATTCCATTAGTGCCCTTCATGCTAAAGCAGACTGAAAAATTGTTTTTGCATTAACTGAAATGCAGCCTCCTCTCAGGCATGTGAGAGCAATGCTGTGTGCTACCGTAGGGGGTGATGAATATTGAATTCAGCTGAAGCTGCAGATTAAGGTAGGGAGAAGGACTCTAGTCTGGAGGCCACCCCAGAGCCTCTCTGCCTGTGAGCACATTAGTTTCCAGCAGTGCAATAGCAGCTGGGAATTTAGCTGCAAGAAGTTTGTTTTGCTCAGCAGTCCACTTGCACTGTTGGTGTCCACTTGCACTGTTGGTGTTTTGTTTATTTTTAAATGGGCTTGAAGATTTATCTATGGAAAGACAACCAAATGTTTGTCTGCTAGAATCAGTAGGAATAATAACCTCAGAATAATGACCCTGTTCATATTTTAAATGTATTTTATGGACATTCCAACCACAGAGATTGAGGGCTCAGCTTTCCTCCTAAAAGAGTGAAATGTTAGAAGATCTTACTAGTTCTGATGGCAGTGCATAAACCTAAATGATAGGAGAAAAAAACAGGGTTTTTTATCACCATTTTCTGCAGTAAAGCCTGAAATGTGATGGCTGATGGAAGGTGAGTGTGAGGTGTTTTCTGTAAAAAGTCACAAAACCTACTGAGAGATCCAGTGCTGCAAAAAATGGATGCTTTTCATAGGCAGTCATGCACCTGTGTAGAACTAAACAGAAACAGCTATAAATTCTGTGTATTTTAGCATATTTCAGCTGGGAAAACAAGGCCAGGCACCATGAGCACTGCTAAGCCAGTCCTGCCTGGAGGAATTGCTGCTGCTGATGACAGTGGCACTGTGCCAGGTCTGACCTGAGCCTGGAAGCAGCACAACCTCTGATGCTGCTGGGGGTCTCCTTCCAGCACTGCCAGGCCTTGCTGATTCTGCAGTTGCTATGCAAAGGTGAATATTTCTGGCACAGCAGAAGCTGGCCAGAGGAAGGGTCCTTGCTGAGCTGATGTGTTTGGGCTCCAAGCACAGTGATGTCAGCTCCAGGTGCTCGCGGGAGCGGTGCCATGCTATTTCCAGCACAGAAAAACCCTTTGCTGGTGTTAGTAAACACAGTTATAATAATAGAAGGTTCCTATTGTGTTTATTTCCTGAAGTGCATTTTCATTCATTGAGATGTATACAGACAGGGTTGGAAGTGTGTGCACACACTTCCACTGCAGGATGGATCTCCTTTGCAAGTGCTGATGAAATAGCACTTGGTTGAAAACCAACTGGTTTGGAGCTTTTAATTTTTATTTTCAGTGCAAAATGCAGGTGATTCATAGACAGCAGTGCTTCATGTGGGAGTCTTGCTAGGCCTCAAGTCCTTGCTCAAGAAAGGTGAGGGTACAATCACAAAATGCAATTAGTGGAAGGGCTCCACTTCTCAGAGACTTGTGAAAGTGCTGAAGCAGTTGAGAGACTTAAATTAAAAGAGGAATGATGGAGCCCTGCGTATTTATCAGCACCCACAGAGCACTTTTAAGTGGAGACAAACCTCTTCTCCTTGTTGAAGAGAGTGGCAAGGCAGAGCCCAGCCTGGGTTGCTCCACAGCACCAGGAGCTCAGCACTGCTCCTGCTTGTCTCACAGGGGAAGCTGAGGTTCTGGGTGAGGTTTGGGGTGCTGGGTAGCTGCAGCATCCAGGATTTCTGCTGGGAAGAGTTTGTTGCCCAGGCAGCAGAGAAAGTGAAATCCCCCAAGAGGGAAGTGTCCCTTCAAAGCTGTACAAAACCTGTCAGATCCAGGTTGCAAATTCACATGAAAATGGGCATAAGAGAACTGCAACTTCAAGGAAGGTACTTGAGGCTTTTTTAACTAAGATAAGCCTCAGAGAACTGGGCTATTTAATTGCTCCAATTTAGAGGAGCATTTGGAAACCAGCTTTTCTGTTGAGGTTGGTGCTGTGCTCCCCCTCTGTCCCTGAGCTCAGCACAGGGATGTGAATGCACACACCTGGCCCACATTTCACTCTTGTATCCACATCCCAGACTCCCATCATTCAAGGAAAGCAAGAAATTGCCATAATTTGAGTTTGGTTGGGCTATGATTTACCCAGTGGTTCCCAAAACTAGAAAGTAGATATGCCAATCCACTGAAACTGCTTCAGGTGATGTTCTTGGTGGATTAGGCAGCCTTATTGCATGTTCCCCACTCTCCTTCTGGAGAAATAACTGATTAAATTGCTTTGAAAAGTGAAGGAAGTGTCATAATCTGTACTCTAGTAGGGATGCTAGCTTTGGAAGAAACATTCTAGTTTCAATATGTGGAAGAAATGTTCACACCATCCAATTTCATATTCCGTATGAAAAGGACATCATGTTCATCCACAGAGGTGAAACACAGAAATTATTGCATATCTTGCTTCAGAGCTGTGCCCAACCCAGTGTTTTGTAATAAGCTCATCACACATCTGCATTTGGGCTTCATATATCTGTGAATACAATTATTGCATTAGCAGTTAACATAATATTGCATTATTTCCTGTCCAGGAATTTGATAAGAAGTCAGAAACACACTGGAGTTTCAAGCAGAGTTCATGACACACTAACATTTCAGGATAATGACAAAATATATCACTCAAATGACTCTGGCTTGTTTTAAATGATTCAAATCCATGTCCTGCAGCTGTGGGATTGGAAAGCTCAAAGCTGCACAAACAACAAATATATGGAGAGTTGCCTATAAAGCAGCTTTAAATTTGGCTGGGGCTTAGGAGCGGAAGAATCTGAGTTGCAAACTTTGGATGAAAAGTGACTTTTTAAAAAGGCATTTGCATTTGTTAATAAAAAGCAGCTTTGAGCCAAGCAGGGACAGACTGAGAGCCTCTCAATGTGTGTGGCAGCAGTGACTGGGGTGAGGCTTTTCTTAGTGAAGAGGAGAGCTCCCATTTGCACAGCAGAAACCTGCATGGAATTTGGCTTCTCACCTCTGTGAAAGACAGGGAGCAAAAAGACCTCTCTTTGTCTCTTTCTCTCTTTCTCTCTTTCTCTCTTTCTCTCTTTCTCTCTTTCTCTCTTTCTCTCTCTTTCTCTCTTCTTCTCCTCTCTTCTCTCTCTTCTTTCTTTCTCATGTCTGTCATGGGAAGAACACACTTGGGAAAGGCCCTCTCAGCTGCCTCTCAGGGGTATTGGAGGCTTCTCCAATGAATTCCTGGGAGATCCTGGGGTGTTTGTTTCAGCTCCTTATTCCGGGCACTGCCCTGGGTGGCAAAGCCCCAGTGGAGATGTGCAGGAATTGCCTGAGGACACAGCAAAGGACACCCAGAGCTCACCTGGTCTGACCTCAGGAGCCAACAGAAAGTTGTTTTTAGGTCACTCTGATAGGAAGCAGCATCATTTCCAAGCTCTCCTGGCCCCACCTGGGTAGGTGACAAGTGTTCCCACCCAGCCTGGTGCTCTCAGTGGTGCAGTAAAAGATCTGTCACTTGTATTCCTGTGTTTCCTGCTTTTGCACATTTCCAGGGCCTCTCCTACCAACTGAGTGAGGAAGTTGCTGCCCATTTCTGAGCAGGAAGGATATATGGGATTATTCCACTGATGGCTACACATCATCAGTGTCTAATGGGCTTCCTTCATGGGCAGGGGTTAAGGGTTATGCAGAGGGGAAATTGAGTTTATCCTGCTCTACTGTCTCTTGGAATCATCAGAGAAACAGGGGTGGGATCTGGAAAGCCACAGCTGCTTTGCAGCTTCCTGATTCCCTCAGGATATTCAGTGATTCCTCTGTGTGGGGCAGAGAGGAAGAGACCTGGAAATGAAGCCTTTTAAACCCTTTGTGCACTGACTCATTATCAGCCAGTTTTCCATTTATTTCATTTCCTTTTTCCTCTCTGGGTAACCTTTATGGTTCCTATTGGTAAGTCAAGGGTCTATGTGATAAATCTTTCTTGGGTCCTGTAACACAATTTACACAGTGAATGTCACAGATGATGTGGGTGGGAGAAGGAGATGGAGAGTCTTTAGTCTGTGATGCTTTCCCAGGCCTTAAAAATGGCTTGTTTAGTTCCACCTCAATAGTTGGAAATCCACTTTTTCCTTCCAAACTGCTGTGTTTACACAATAAACATGTTCTTAGCAAAAGCTCTAGAGGAAGGGAGCTTAAGAGCTCCAGGATTCATCTGGATGGAACTCACCAAGAAAAAAAAAATTGGATTTAATTGGTTTTATGAAGTGCCAGGTTTTGACTGCAATATTCCAGAGGCTCCCATTTCTCACTAGTGGTGGATATGGAAAGCAGGCCTGCCTGCTTGTGTTGTCATGAGTCATGTGTTGGTGATGTTCAAGATGGGGCCACTTCAGGTTTTGATAATAAATTCTGGCTTCAGGGAACATTTATGTGACTGAGAGGCAAGAGTTCACATTCCCCTTCTTACCCTACTTGGATCCTGTTGAGAGGCAATGGAGTGGGACCACAAATTGTAGATGGAAATCTCATGTCTAAGGTTTCTTGGGAAAATCAATTCCCTCCACCCCCAGATGCAGTCAGCCTGGCTGGACAGATTTATTGTGATTTGAGAAAAGGGACAGGGAAAGAGATGTAAGAGACTGCAGGCTCCACTTTTCTTGGTCCCATGACTGAAAAATCAATGTCAATGTTTCTCATGAGAGCTTCATGGACCATTTGGCTTTTGTTTTTTGGGAGGAAATAAAAACCATGTCCATCTCCTGAATACTGCTGGGTGTTTCTAAACTGGCAGCTGTCCATGCAGACTAGCCCCTCTGTAAAATGAACCCAAACAAGGTTGCTGATGGGACCAAATTATTAAAAGTCCTTCTTGCTGTAATTAGTAAGAAAATCAGAGTGCTGCTGGGGTGCTCTGGGTGCCTGTGCGTGATCTCAGGCTGGTGCATCTGAGTGTGTTCATGGCAGCCCTGAGCTCCTCTTAGGCTTGTGCTGACAAGTGATGTTTTATAGGCAAAACTCTCCTGTTTCTCAGGAGAATAGGGGTGAGGTTCTCAGGAGCAGCTGGGAAGTGTGCAGTCCCTCAGGAGGACGTGGCCATGCGAGCAGGGCCCCAGCTTGTTTCTGCTGTTTTTGGGAGTGTTTGGGTGTGCCTTGCAGCCCCTCTTCCTCCAGCTGCTCCTCTGCTCCTCAGCAGTGGCCAGATGAGCTGGAAGCCACGTCCTCTCCCTGTCCCCAAGTGCCACAAGGCAGCTGCCTGCCAAGAGAGCTGGGTTTGCCCGTGCCCTCAGCCCGCCTCTCCTGATGAGAACCATCTCAGTTCACGAGTGAAGGATTGACCCCCTGTCCCAGCAGAGCCAGGCTGCCCTGTGCTGCCAGCTCTGCACGCAGGGAGGAGGGCTCTGTGTCAAACAATGATATCATTGAGGGGCTGGAGTGGGACCAGCACGGCTCCAGGACAGCCATCAGCAGGAACCGCTCGGGCCATCTGTACATGATGGCACCGAGCCACCCTCCCTTCCTTTGGCTTCCTTGCTGACATTCAACCTGGCTCCCAAGGCTTCCCAGGGAGCAAACCCTGCCAAGAGCAGGCCGTTCCACCCTGAGCTTGGAGGCTGAGCTGGATGCTGGGGATTGACTGATCCTGCCGAAAGCTGGTCCCGTTGGAAAGGTGTGAGGCTCCTCTAGAACATCCCAAGCTCTCCTGTGCAGCTTCCCCTGGCCCCAAACCAGCTGCAGCTGCTATCAGCTTTAGCAAAGGAGAGTGCTCCCATCCCCAACCAGCTTTTTCTCTGACTTCATCAATTCTTCATGCTGATAACTCCTCTAATGAGAGACTCAGTGCTGCCTTTTAGGAAGATGATGTGTGCTAGCGATTTGCCAGCTGCCTGACTGGATCTCAGAAGCCTTTGAGTGATGTTGTTTTGCATCCAGACTTTTGCAGCTTCAGCGTGAGCTGCTGGAGAAGTGGTCACCACAGAGGCATGTAATGTAACTGAGAAGAAAAAACCAAATTGTGTCATTTTTTCCAGACTTTCCCTCTCCAGCAAGGAGGTGAACTGTGTGTTTTTCTGGAAACCTCCATCAGTGCTAATTCCCCTGGAATTAGCTGCTCAGCCTGGCAGGGATGTTGTCTTTCTCTTGTCAGAGAAGGTTTTGGGGTATGGGTGTTTCTCTGCTGTTTATCAAACAACTGGTACACGTGGAAAAAAGTCAAGACTGGCTGAGAACTCTGCTGCACTCTTGGTGACAGGAAGGTTTGTTTGCTGTTTATTTACAGTTTGGTGGAAAGCTTGGTGCTTGCTAAAGAAGTGAGTCAGACTGGGAATGAAATTTTACGGGCTCAAAATAAGATACCAAGGGTGTTGCAAGATGTTCTGTTGTTTTTCCTCTTTCCTCACTGCCCTCCCCACCACACCTTGTGCAATCCCCTGTGATAGCCCTTTCTGGCAGTGCTGCAAGAGCCACATGGTCCCCCTGCATTAAGGCTGGGAACTGTCTTCAAGCTCAGAATGAGAAACTGGACTTTTCTTAGGGACCTGTGGTGCAGAGTAGGAGTCAGCTGGTGCAGAGAGGCTTGCAAGTTGCACCATGGAGATGACACAGGCTTTCAGCTGAGCAGCTGCCTAAGTGTCCCTAAAAATCCAGGCAAAGCTCCTTAATCCACTCTAATGGGGGCTGGAGCCTGAGTGGAAGGGATGTGCACACCCTTGTGCTGAGGGGCCTCATCCTGTGCCCTCCCTGGGCAGGACTCAGCTCTGAGGAGCCTCTGGGGATGCTGAAGGGGAGATCAAGTGGCTATTCATGGCTAATGCTTTCCAAGAATAAAGGAGCAGGAGGAAAACACAAGAGTGCTTGTTTGGGAATGAAGCAAGCAGGCTGTGCAAAGCCTCAGCTACTGGAAATCCAGGGGCTGGTGTCTGGCTGTAATAGCACAGGGCAGATCCCACTGCTTTACTGTCTGCCCCTGACACAGACCAGATACCTGCCAGAGCATTGCTCAAGGCAATTTCCTGCGAGTTAATGCAATCTGTTGATTAAATATTTGTTTCTTGCACCCTTGCTGAGCAAGCTGCTGCAGTCAGGGAGATGAAGGGAGTTATGTTCTGCGGGATGTTGCTTATCTTGGGTTTACAGACCTGGGACAGCTGAGCGCAGCAACCTGGCCTTCTGATCACTGACAGCATCTGGGGATAAGAATTAACACATCAGAAAGACACAAAATGAGCTTTTCTGGGCCATGCTGAACTTCAAAAGTGGAGATAAAAGCCGCTGGTTTCCTGACATCAGGTGCTGTCAGACACAGCAGTGGCACAGTTGTCTGTTGTTAAGCTGTGGGTACTTGTTCAGCTGTCTGAGCCTTTGGATGCCAGGTGGGTGAGGCACTTTCAAACACTGATAAAAGGTTTTGTTTCCTGTTGTTCTGGTGCAATTTAACTAGATATCACAGGCACCCACTTCCTTTTTTAAGCAGAGATGCTTTCAAGGTTGACAAGATCTGACTGACAGGTACCAAAAGCCAAGATGGAAAAATCTTTGTGTTTGTGATACAGCTTTCTTCATCCAGCCTAAAGAAATCAGGCAAAGAAAAGAAAACCTTTTCCCTACTTTCTAGCAGTTTAGTTCTCAAATCTGGTGCATGACATTTTTTGAACAGGGATGCAAAGGGATTGAGCTGCAGCTGCATCTGACAACACATTGCCCAGGGTGCATGTGGCATCCTCATGGGTGGCAAATGTGGCACTTTGGTGGCCTGACAGCACCCTGGGGTTGCTGCAGGAGTGTTTCATCAACAGGGCATGTTCTGTGATCCTTCTCCAAATTTTTGCAAGACAAACTATTGTTTTTAAAAACTGCTTTAAACCTACATTTTATGGCTGCTGAGATGGACACAGGATATGACCTTCTTGGTTTGGCCCAGATTTTGACTTGCTGTAATTTTACATCACTGTTTAGCAAATGCAGATGTTTAAAAAGAAGAAGGCTGTTTCCTCTGGAACAAAATCAAAATGCTTCTTTCTTTCTAAAGGAGCATAGGAGCTCCTTTTATAGACTTTTGGTCAGATCCTGGGTTGAAGACAGGGAGAATATTGTGTACATGGGGATGACATGAACAAATTCAAATTGGGGAATCAGCATTTTCCCATAACAAATATGTGAACCAGCTTCTGGGCAGCAGTTGAAATCAGATACAGATTAATTTATGATTGTACTCAGATTTGGACAGTGGAGACAGGCTGGGCTTGAGCTGAGGACTCACACCAGCACCCAGATGTTGCCTGTGTTGTGTTTGCTATGCAGGACTTGGTGCTTTGAATTTAATCCCAGTACATTTGGGGCATAATTAGGCGATAGAAAGAAAACTGCAGAGACTGACCCCATTAGGATCAGTGATTTGGTTGGGATTCTGAGTCTTTAAAAGTCCTCACGCAAAAATTGAATTGTTTACTTGCAGCTGCTGGAATTGGATCTTGGTGCCCAATTGACTCAGGGACAGGCTCTCTGTTATTGTTTTAATTTAATAAATGGCTTGAAAGAGCACTTAGATGGCTTGTGGGGCCCTTCCAGGAGCGGATGTGCTCTGTGAGAGGTGCTCAGCTCCTGCCAGGGCAGAGGAGAGGTGGAAGTGGCCAGGTCAGCTGTGCTCCCACCTTCTGACCCTCTGCCATCACACTGTGCTCTGCACAGGCCCCACAGCCCATGGTGATGGTCCTGCCATGGATCCCAGGGCTCCTGGGCCACCAGGAGCTGCTCCCTGAACAATCCTGGCAGGAGGGACGCGTTGAGAGCAGAGCACAGCTGGTGTCCTGTGAATCCCTGTCTCTCACCTGCCCTCTCAGGGTGTTGTAGGTGGTTTCACACCATGGGCAGAAAACAGTGACTGCCCCAAATCCACAGCAGTGGTTCACAGCAGCAGGAATATTTACATTGCCTTCAGAAAGAGCTGGATCTGGCTAATTTTCCAGCATTCCTAAGAAGTAGAAATCCAGGTCAAAACAAAGGTCTTACCATCTTGATTTTTAAATTTGCCTTTTTCACTCCCTCCCCTGTGTCTGCAGAAACCTCTTTGCACCAGGCTACACTGAGACCCACTACAGCCACACTGGCCAAGCCCAGAGCACCCCCCTGAGCCACACGGTGAGTGCAGAGACCCTTCCCTCCTGTGCCTGCATGGGACACCAGGCTGGCGCTTGGAGAAGCAGGTGAACCTCTTCCTCCTGAGCCTTTTTTTTTTAAGGGCACACATCCCCACAGCTTAAAGCTGAAGGAGAGGGCAGTCCAGCTTTCTGATCTGGGAGGTTCCAGTGGGAAAGCTGCTCCATCCCCCAAAAATGGTAAAAACATCTTTCTGTTTTGCCTGAGCTCTGTTATGAGAGCCAAGGTCAGCAGCCAGCATTGCTCCCCTCTCTCTGGGTGCTGGGGAATTGTTTATTCCTCACACTGCTCACCCTCTTGCTTTTAGTTTTGCCACCAAGTTCTCCACACTGGGGGAACCTCTGGGGAAAACAGCCCCTATAAACCAGCTCCCATTTAGTAAAAACCCCATAAATTACTGATCTCAGCCAGACTTGGCTGCCTCTGCTGCAGCAGCACAAAGATGTGCATTGGTCACAAAGCAAAAATAAAAGATAAAATCCCCATGAGATCATCTTTCCTGCTGCTGCCCCGGGGTGAGGGGAAGGGATAGAATGAATATGTTGGCGTTTCTGCCCCAAAGCCTCCTTGTCCCCGCCAGAGGCTGCCTTTGTCCCACCAGCAGCCCGCGGTGTCACCCTCTCTGGGGCTGCAGCCACATCCCCTGGGGCATGACCCAGGGCCAGCTCCTGTCACAGGCACAAAGCTTTGGGTCTGCCCCAGTGCTGCAGCCAGCCCAGTCCTTCCCTGGGCGATCCAAAGCTCTCCATTTTTGCTGGCAACAAGGAGCTGTTTGATGCTGTTTGATGCTCTGGCCCAGGCGGGGCTTGGCAGCCAAGAGGCGGAATTTCGCAGCGGAGTCACGGAGATTCAGAGCTGATAATCAGAGGAAAGGGAACAGCAAACGGAGCGTCGGCAGCGCTCGCACGGGACTCGTCACGGAGATTCAGCGCTGATAATCAGAGGAAAGGGAACAGCAAACGGAGCAGCTCTCGCACGGGACTCAGCAATGCCCAAATTTAATCCCATGTGCTGTGTCCATCCCTGTGGTTGTGTTTGAGGGTGCCAGGACGAGCGAAGAGACGAGAATCTTGACTCCGTGGAAGAGATGAGACTCTTGACTCCATGTTTCAGAAGGCTGATTTATTATATTATGATATATATTATATTAAAATGCTATATTATAACAGTACTAAAAGAATAGAGAGAAAAGGAGCCATCAGAAGGCTAGAAAGGACAGGAGATGAATGACAACAAAAGCTCATGACTCTCAGAGAGTGCAAGCCAGCTGACTGAGATTGGTCATTAATCAGAAACAACCAACATGCACCAATCACAGGTGTACCTGTTGTATTGCCCAGCAGCAGATAGTTATTGTTTACATTTCTTTCCTGAGGCTCCTCAGCTTCTCAGGAGGAAAATCCCGGCAAAAGGATTTTTCGGAAAATATCATGGCTACACATGCTGTTCGGGCACCACTAACCCTGCCTCCTGTGCCCTGCAGGATCCCACTAACCCTGCCTCTTCTGCCTTGCAGGAGCACTGCTTCTACCATGGCACTGTGCGCGGCTGGGAGCGCTCCAGTGTCACCCTCAGCACCTGCCGAGGGCTGAGGTGAGTGCCTGGCGTGCTGGAATCTGGGAATGCTTCGGGAATGCCCTTGGGAACGCCCTTGGAAATGCTCCTGGGAATGCCCTTGGAAATGCCCTTAAAAATGTCCCCGGGAATGCCTCTAGAATGCCCCCAGGGATGCGCTGGGAATGTCCGTGCTCAGGCGTTGCTGCCTCCCAGCTCAGCTCCCAGCAGCCTGCCTGCCCTGATTCTCTCTGAGTGGATGGAGAGCTCTCAAAGGCCGCCCAGCCTGGGTATAAAAAGGGGCATGTTGGGGAAAATGCAGATTTTGGGATATCATTAGTGGCCATGGCCTCCTAAGCCCCTCCAGGACCCTTCCCCCTGTGTGCTGTCAGCGTGGACTGGTGCAATGACTGAGTTTGGGTCCACTGCAGCAGAAGTCTCTTGTTGGTGGCTCAGCTGCATCTGTCACAGACAGGGACAGCACTCAACACGTCCCAGCCCAGTGCTCTACACTTGTGCAGAAACTTTCTCCCACTCTCCCACAGCTGGCAATTTTCTGTGTGTTTTGAAGCAAAGTCTTCACGTCTGAGCTCCCTCCTGGGCTGTGAGCTCTATTTTCTGCTTTGTCCCCAGCTGGTGCCAGGGCTGTGTGTGTAAAACCTGTATTTTGGGAGTAATGGAGTCTTTGGCCGGAAAAGGGGGTCTGTATCCTCAGCCAGGAGTAAATGAAGCAGTTTGTTGTGACCAAGGAGCTGCATTCATTTACACCAACTCTGAGTTTGTTTCCAAAACACCACACGGGCTTTATTGACATTAGTGGTCATCTGCTCTGGAGCCCTGCTGGAAGCTGTGCTGATGGGACTGGCTCCAGCCAGGAAACAGCCCCTGCCAAAGCAAACCTGAGACGTTTTAGTGAGTGTAGCACAGGCCAAAGGGCCCAGTGAGATAACCAGGACACTGCAGCCACCTGTGGCTTGCAATGAACATTCCAAAAGCAAAAGCAGTTGCAGGTGTGCCATGCTTCTGTCAGCCTGTGTTTTCCTAGGCTCTGCTTTCCAGAGGGACAGAGATGCTCAGAGTGCCTGTGCAGGCTTCCTGCACCCCTGAGCTGTCAGTACCTGCTGGCAGCTCCTTGATGTCTTTTTCTGACTGCTGGGGAAGCACAGGAGCTGAGCACACGTGGCTGTTCTCACTCTGAGCCTGCATGGTGTGGGTGGTGCCCATAAAGCCACACATTTTCTAGAGAGCATCACACACATATTTCCAGCTCTCCTGGCTCATTGAGAAATCTAGAACCATCTGGGTACGTGCATGACCCAGAGAGAACTCTGCCTTTCCTGTTGACAAAGTCTTCACATTTTTCAGGTCAGGTCTGTTAAAAGCAAATTTCTTCTCCTGGTAGAAAAGCTTCCACTGCCCCTAAAGAAAAAGCTGTAAGTTAAACTTCTCAGGTTGCAGCACATGCTCCAATAGCCTCTCAATGTCTGAGGCCCACTGAATGTATTTTAATATATGGAAGGTCAGGGATTTCCCCCTCTGAACTCAAAATATTCCCACCCTTTTTATTACTGAACTGCCTAGCCTAGTGAGGATAAGTGTCTTGCCAGAGTCAGATGGGAGCTCAGCAGCAGCAGCAGGATTTGTCTCCAGTTGCTGTGATAGTAATCAACTTTCCCTTTTATTGCTTCCCGTTTCAACAGAGGACTTATCATATTGAGCAGCAATTCCAGCTACATCTTGGAGCCAGCTCCTGACAGCCCAAACCAGCACTTGATTTACAGGGTGGACAACCTGAGGTTGCAGGGAGGAGCTTGTGGCTACCAGGGCACTGTGGATGCAGCTGAAGATTGGCTCAGGAACTTCACAACTGGGATGAAATCACCAGGCCAGAGGGTGAGCAGGGCTCAGGCTGAGTCCATGCACGATGCTCCAAATATCCCACTGTTCCCAGCCCTGCTGTTCCCTAGAAGCATAGCTGAGAAAGTGAAGTGAAGAGCATTTAGGAGGGATTTCAGCCAGCTGGTTGTGAAATAGTGGCTCCAGCAGGGAAGTAAATGAGTGCTGGGGACTGTGGTGGGCTGTAGCTGTTCCTACATCCCATACAGGTACAAAAGGTGGGCTGAGGACAGGCTTGTGGGCACTTGCTGTGGCCATACTGACCTTGGTTGCTCTTAATTAATCACATTTGGAGGTCGTGTGTGTTGGGGTGGGGTGAACAACCAGTGAGAAACAAACTGGGAAAAATGACCTCTACATATATTTTGTAAAGAGTTTCTTGGGGAATATTGGGGGAGTAACCCAGTGACCCAGTGTTGCTGCTGCTGCAGGTGAAACGGGACACTCTGCAGGCTACAAAGTACGTGGAGCTCCTGCTCGTGGCAGATTATGCAGAGGTAAGAAATGGGATTTTTATACCCAAGGAGCACTGGGCACAGAGCATCCCACCTGCAGCATCCCCAGGGGCAGGGAGGGCTGCTGGGGCTCAGCAAGTTTTCTCTTGCAGTCCCAATGGTTCTCAGTGGGCAGGAGAGCTCTGACTGTGGTCACTTTAGTCCTGGCAGCCACCCTTGGCCCAGGGAGAGAAGCAAATTTAGATGAGGGCTGAGAGTCTGTTCTGGTCTCCCAGGGTGGCAGTGGTCAGTCCTAGTTATGGCTGGGAGAGTCTGCCCTCAGAATAGGGAAATTTGGGGGTTTCCATGAGTGGTGTGCTTCTAACTGCAGTACACTTAATCTCTAGAGGAGATAACCGTGACTATGCTCTGCTCTGAGCTGCTAGCAGATATATAAATAGACATTTTTAAGGCTCCAGATCACAGAATAGGTCTGGGAGAAGCTGAGTGAAGTCAGCAGTCCCTCCCCCATCCCCAGCCTGGACAGGCCAGACACACTGAGTGCAAACCACAGGAACTTCAGTGTTTTACTGATTGTTTAATCTGCAGCACAGACGGGAGCCAGGCTGGTCCTATCCATAATTTACAACTTGAAACTCCAGTAGGGAAAACCACACAGTGCTCTGGGCTGTAATTTATTCTGAACAAAGCTAAAGAGGCAGAACCTATTTTGGTTTCTCTGTTAGGCAGCAGGACACCAGAGAAACTGAGAAAACACATAATACCCAGGAACTGCCATATGTTGTTCACCATTTGATCAGAGAAGCCAGGACAGAGGCTCAGGGTGTTGTTGTTAAATGCCCTTTCTTTGCTGTGTCCCTGACTAAGAGAAAAGTCCAGGAGTTTGACATCTGTTAAACAAAAATCTGAACATTTTGCTACTTTAACTCTTTGAACCAATTTTGCTAAAATTAACTCATTCATTGCCAGGTCATTTAATAGGAAAATTGGTTGGATGAGTGAGAGGTGATGAGAGGTCCAGCAGCCTTGACCTCAGGCATGAAGTCCTGTTATCACACCTTTTACCTGGCACATTTGCCAGTTCCTTGTCAGCCCCCATCTCTGGGGGCAGTGATAAGTTTGGGTGTGCCACCCCTTGATAACATCACTGCCATGGTGTGCCGGGGATAAATTCTGAATATACCTGTACAGGTGGGCTTAAAGGCAGATGTGCAGGGCAGGGAGATTTCACTTCATAGTTGCCTTCTTATTTCCAGAATAATGTGGCTCATTTTAACACATTTCAGCTCTTTGTAGTTGCCTCTGTGCTCCTGACATGTTCATTTTGTTCAGTTTCAGAAACATCACTTCAACATTGAAGCAACAAGGCAGAAATTGGTGGAGGCTGCTAATTATGTAGATAAGGTGAGACTGTGTGTGTGTGAAAGGAGGAAAGCAAGGCCCAGATTATAAAATATGAGAATAAATTGGGCCAGAGGAAGGCTGGCTTTTTGGGAGAGAGAATAATATTTTGGCAGTTCTCCCCAGTGACTTGGGGAGAGTGGCTGCCAAGCAATTGTGTTGTTGCAAATCCAGAACAGGGTGGGGGGATCCCCATTCCTAGGAGCTAGCATGAGCAGCTTGTGTTTTCCTACACCTCTGTAAAAACTGTTACCTAAGTAATGCTTTTTGAAAAGGAACTGAGGTATTCACTTGAAATGGTAGAAAACCTGAGAAGTAGAACTGGAAGGAGCTTTCAGAAGTCATCCCTGCAGTGGTATCTAGTGCTGCTGAAGTAAAACTTCCTTACTTTTCAGATCTACTCCCCTCCTGCTCCTCTTAAACTCCTTCCAGCCCTCTCTTCACCCCATTACTCATGAATGCTTCTCCTATTTGCACTTGACATGGCAGAAGATTATTTCCTTACTCTTTTCAGGAATTTTGACTATTGGAAGATGAAACATCATGTCAGTCTTCAGTCTTTGTTTCTTCAGATTATGTCTTTGCCAATCATTCAAAAATGAAAGATCAATGTCTCTGTTTCAGTTTGAGTTTAGGTGGTTGCACATTTCTGTCTGCAGAGCTCAGCACTAAGCTGAAATGCATTTCCAGAGGGAGCATCTTTTCTGGACATGTGGATCTCTAGTAGCAATTAGCAGTACATATTTGAGATTTAAAACAGAGTAAAATAACTTTGTGGTCCTCATTTTATCATCTCTTTTCTTTCCTGTATCTTAGTTTTACAGGGCCTTGAATATCCGGATTGCCTTGGTGGGGCTGGAGATCTGGAATTACGGGGATAAATGTGATGTAACAGAGAATCCCTACTCCACCCTCAAGTCCTTTCTGGCCTGGAGTAGCAAAGAGAGGCTGCACAGAAAACATGATAATGCCCAACTAATCACGTGAGCTCACTCCTCCTGTTTCTCACAAGTGGGTTGGGTGGGTGGGAAATCAGTGTGTACCACAAATCCTTCCAGGATTCAAAGTGGCTTTGTGGAAAGCATTAATTCCTAGCCCACCCCACTGCCACACAGAGCCCTGGTGCTGGGAGCCAGCTGATGATGGCCTGTGGCTGATGGGCCACTGACCCACCAGGGCCAGTAGCCTGGCCAGCAGTGCAGGTGGCATTGGAAGGAAAATTTGCAGCAGCTCCCAGATCTCTTTACCTCTTCCACAGAAATTCATCCACCAGGATGAGTCAGAGGACCTGTAGGGTTGAAATGCAGAGATACAATGCCTTTCCCTTGTTTTCTTTGGTTGGGTTTTTTTCCCTTTAACATTACTGTATTTCCTCTCCATCTGGTCATGTCCTGACCACAATTTCCAGGACTTCCATTTCAAAGATGCTGTCAGGGTGCTGCAGAATTCCAGCTCAGAGGCAGGAGCAGGGCATGGCTGCACCTCAGAGGTGTTACCTACTACTCTCTCAAGTCCCCAAATCCCAGGCTGGCAAATACCAGGCTTATGATAAATTAATTATTCACAAACAGTACTCAGCTAAGGATCCAGAAATAGTCTTTTCTGTCCTTGTTGCAAAGCTCAGCAGGAGGACTTTTTGGAACCAAACCATTATAAAAAATAGGATTGTCTGGCTGGCCCATAAAAGAGAGTATCAGTCCAAGATAAACAGACCTAAAGGCTTTGTAGCTCTGCTATGATGTCCTGCTCTGGAAGACACTAAAAAGACAATGTGTCCCCTGACACTGTGTAGGGAGCTGTGCACTGCAGGGTGCATTTCTCTGCCTGCCTCCTCGAGTGCCTCAGTGCCATTTCATTCTTTTTCTGGTTGATTTTAGGGGTGTGCCCTTCAAAGGTACCACAGTAGGCTTGGCTCCCGTGATGGCCATGTGCTCTGATTTCCAGTCAGGAGGAGTAAACATGGTAAGTAATTGCCAATCCCCAATATAAAGCTTCTTGCCAGCAGTGAATACATAGGAGAGATGCCTCCTAAAGCCCAGGGAGAAAATATTTCCTGTGAAGTTCTCCACTCACCTGCTTATAGGCAGGAATACCTCCAGTAGATATTTTCTACATGTACAAATGAGAAGTTCCCCTCACCCCATCTACCCAGAGGTGCACAGGACAGGCACAGGTAAAATGCTGACGTGCCCCTTTGACCTTGCACAGGACCACTCTGATAATGCCATTGGTGTTGCTGCTACCATTGCCCACGAGATGGGACACAATTTTGGCATGAATCATGACTCTGCTGGCTGCTGTACCACCCCTGCAGCAGATGGGGGCTGCATCATGGCTTCTGCAACTGGGTGAGTTCATCCTCATGGGCTCAGCGAGGAGTGTTTGTTACCAGAGCCTTGGTGGAGTAAGAACTAGAAATGTAGAGTGAAAGTCGGTTTGCTGCTCCCTGCTGGAGTCAGTGTTTATAGATAAAAAATTGCTGGGCAAACCCTGGGTCATGGAGCAGTAGCAGTTTGCTGATTCCCAAGGAACTGATTCCTGCCTGAGATTGGCCTTAGGTAAAGGCAGCATTTGAAAGTGGAGCTCTGAACTGTCTGGTAAAAGGAAAATTTTCCTGTTCCCTTTTCTTAAGAATACTCCTTGGTTTCTGAGAACCTGTGTGTAACAGGAAAGAGGTCTTTGAGAGAAAAGGGAAGCAAGAGTGGCTCTAGAAGCCCATAGGAATTCAAAATTTGATTTTGGATGAGGAAATATAAAAATTTCTACAATGCAGTCACGAAACATGCCAGATGAGCCCATACACTTAAAGCCACATTCACCATTTTCTCAAGCCTTCCTCTGTTTGAACAGATCTTGTTTTTTTCATAAGCATCTTCTTTTATGTGCATCATTTCCTCCAAAACCATTTGGGTGAGAAGTGAAAGCACAGTGGCATGCAAGCAGAGCACACAACATCCACACACATGCACAGCCACGCGTGGAGTGCACTGGCGTTGTAGCAACAGAAATTAATAATTTGTGTCCCAAAAAATATTCAAAATTCTTCAAAATGAGGTGGTACATAGGAAAAATTAAATATTCTTTTTAGCAGTTAGGCTCACAGGCAGTTATTCACAGGCTGAGTGCTGGATGTTCAGGGTTGTTCAAACAACATTCTTCAAAATGAGGCGGTACATAGGAAAAATTAAATATTCTTTTTAACAGTTAGGCTCACAGGCTGAGTGCTGGATTCTCAGGGTTGTTCAGGCAGTTGGGAATAAACCACAGCTCCAGTACTGAGGAGGAGAGGACAGCCATGCTTGTCAGCAAGCACAGTCAAATATAACTCAATGTATTTTGGTTCTATAAAGCTTATTCTGTAAGGCCATTATATTACTAAACAATCTTGCAGTGTAGTCTCACTTGTGTAGTGCAGGCAAGGAAATCACAGCCTGCTTTAGCACAACTCCAGGAATTTCAGGGAGAGACCTGTGTCCTTTGGCACTTGTCAGGGTTTGCATGTGCTCCTTTTTGCTTCTCTAAACCATTGCCCAGACCTGTCTTCATGTTTTGCTCTTCATGTTTTTCTACCCTGTCTCTGCTCAGGCACCCATTCCCCAAGGTGTTCAACCAGTGCAACAGACAAGAGCTGGAGAAGTATCTGCATTCTGGTGGAGGGATGTGTCTCTCCAACATGCCAGACACCAAAAGAATGTATGGTGGAGGGAAATGTGGAAATGGCTACTTGGAAGAGGGGGAGGAGTGTGACTGTGGAGAGGTGGAGGTAACAATTGTTCAGATCCAACCATTTGGGGTTTAGTGGGACACTTTTTTTTAATTATGGATTTTGCAAATGTAGTTTTGTGATCTGTAATCAGCTTTTCTTTGAGCAGGAGACAAAAATATCTTCCCTCTGTGTAAATGTAGATCAAGGTTCTAAAATATTACATCTGACTTCACAGTGTGGTACAATCCAGGATGGTGTGGTCCAGGGCTGAACTGAGATGATTAAAACTTCATTTAAAAAGGAGATGAAAAAGTCATTTTAGGTCACAGAATCACAGATTCATTTAGGTTGGAAAAGACTTCCAAGATCATCAAGTCCAACCTGTGACCCATCACCACCTTGCCAACAGAGCCACAGGACTGAGTGCCACATCCAGTCCTTTCTTGAACACCTTCAGGGACAGGGACTCCTTCACCTCCCTGGGCAGCCCATCCCAATGCTTAACCACCCTTTCAATGAAAAAGTTCTTCCAGATGTTGCAGTTTCATATATAAATTCACTTTACCTCCACTCCTGTTAAGGATGGGGCTTCTCTGAGCACTGCATCTCACTTCTGCAAATCCATCCTTTGCCTCACAAGAGAGCAGGGAGCTGGAACCAGCAGCCCAGATGTGATAAGCACAAGCAGCTGTGTCCCATCAGAGGGAGGCTGTGCAGTGCTGGCATTCAGCTCGTGCTGGGCACCCTGAGACACCCTGGGAGGGAGGGTTTTATTTTGTGTGTGACCCACTGTGAGTGAGAACACAGCAGTGCCAGCTCAGATCTGCCCTATGAACTCTGCTGCACCTCACTGTCTTCCAGGACTGCAGGAACCCCTGCTGTGACCCCAGGACCTGCTCCCTGAAACCTGGTGCTGAATGTGCCCATGGCAGCTGCTGCCATCAGTGCAAGGTGGGGTCTCTGGGTTTTCCTGACAGGGAATAACAGGGGGGCAAGTGTGAGGCTGGGAACTGGAGGGGAAAGGGGAGAAAACACAGCCAAATATGGAGTTTAACTCCTCATCTGGTTTGATTTGAATTTAGGTGCAATGGCCATGAGTGTAATCAAACTGGTGGGGTCCTTTCTTCTGGCTGATTAAATTGACTCCTGTGGTATCTTAAGATGAGCTGTGAGTGCTGCTGGAGTGAAGTCACACTGCCTCTCTTAAACACTGAGGGATAAATCAGAGCTGATATTTCTCTCCACTGGTTCTAGAAGAAATCTAGACAGAGCTCTTAGAGCAAACACTTCCTCCAGGGATTAGGCTGGATGCTGTGTTTGCTCTGAACCCTCTTTTCTGGGGTGCAGCTGAATCCCTTTAGCTCTGGTGTTTGCTGAAGAACTGCTGGCAAAGAGTATCATTTTAAATCTCAGCTTTCCTTATAGTGAATGGTTAAAATGTGTTTCCGGTTTTGGGGCCAAAGATCTCAAATTTAACAACAAATTAGCTGAAAAATGAACATGGGCAAGCATTTTTCTTAAGCTCATCTTTATATTTGCACATTGGCTGTTTGCTCTTACTGACCTATCCTGAGCAAAATGGGGAAAACAATTTCTAGAAATCCACCTGGGCTCACTTGGAACAAGCTCCCAGATGTGACTGTGAATGCCCTTTGTTCTCCACGTGTGTGGTGGACAAGAGAAGAATGAGCTGAGCAAGCTCGTAAGCAAGGGAGAAATAAGTTATGCATCAGGAAAATGTCTCCAGCAGAAATGACAGGCAAACACAGAAACAGACTTCCCAGCCAGGGAGGGTTTAGGGAGCAGATTACATAAACATCTGTCAGAAATGGTTCAGGTAAATTGGATCCTTCCCTAGGGTAGAGTGAGATGGGTCAGTGTCCCCTTGAGGTCTGGCAGCCTTACATTCCATGCATGATCTCATTTCTACCTGGGGAAGGGCTCCAGTCATTAATTGTGCTCTACAGAGTTCACCCAGCTAATGAATCCCAGAGGCACAAGTCACTGCTAACCTCAAAAAAACCCCTTAGGCAAGGAGGACAAAGTGACACACACAAGGTTCTGCCTTATCTACAGACAGGAAACCACAGAGGAGCCAAGCAATAATTCTGGGTTTCCCCCACTCTCTCTTTTTTAGCTGATGTCCCCAGGAACTCCCTGCAGGAAGAGGTCAGGACTCTGTGACCTCCCAGAATATTGCACTGGCGAGTCCCCGTTCTGCCCCCTCAACTCCTACCAGATGGATGGGGCTCCCTGTGATGGAGGGAAAGCCTACTGCTACAGTGGCATGTGCCTCACCTACAGGGACCAGTGTGTGCAGCTCTGGGGGCCTGGTAAGGACACTGCCTGCAGCACAACCTGCTGTCCTTTGAACCAGAAATGCTCCTCGCCCTGCTGTTCCTCACCCTGAGCAAGGCAGGAGTGCCTTCCATGCCTGCTGTCAGCAGCAGAGTCTCAGCAGCCTTTTCTCCTGCCTTACTCACATGGGGGACGCAGCAAAAAAATTCCCGTGCTCCAACCATTCCAGAAAAAGGACAAGTGAGTGGTTGGCACGGGGTGGGATGAAGCAGCCACCTGAGTCTCTCCCATGCAGGAGCACAGCCAGCACCAGATGCCTGCTTTGAGAAGGTCAATGCTGCTGGAGACATCTACGGGAACTGTGGGAAGGACATCTATGGGAATTACAGGAAGTGCGACATGAGGTACAAAGCAGAGGGGCAGCCCAGAGCTGGAGAAGATGTATTTTTATGTCATAAAATTGTGGGCCAGGAGATAAAACCACTCCATGCATTGGTTCACTCCCTACTCTGCCTCCTGGGAAGCCAGCTGCATCCTTGTGGGACTTGGAGCCCCTACAGCTGAAGCTTTCAGCTCATCATTTTCAAACATCTAGTTGATATTCTTCCAAAGCAACAGAAGAGGGGGAATTTTTAGAATCCATAAGTTAAATGTAGCTTTCTAACTGAGTCAAAAATTTCTTAGTCTTCTGATTTTGTTGATGTTGTCCATCCATGGGGGCATCCCCCATCCATGGGGACTGTGGGGTGGTACCATCAGTATCCATCAGATAATTCTTGGGAGATGCCTGCTCATTTAACAATGGCTCAGCACTGCTGCTTTAATTTACACTTAGAGCAAAACATTCAGCAAGCCAGGAATAATCACTTCAGCCTTTCCTTTGAAATCAGAGATGCTAAATGCGGGAAGATCCAGTGCCAGAGCTCGGCTTTCAAACCCCTGCAGCCCAACGCAGTGCCCATAGACACCACGGTGAACAGGCAGCGCTGCCGGGGCACCCACGTGTACAGATCTGACAGTGAGGAGAAGGAGATGCTGGACCCTGGCTTGGTGCTGACAGGAACCAAGTGTGGGAGCCATCATGTAGGTACAGTTCTGCCTGGAGTGGCTTGGGGGAGGCTCAGAGTATGTCTTTTCCACCCAGAATGTGGTTTGTGGTTGCCAAGCTATTAATTTTTTATGTACAATGCTTTTCTAGGAGATTTCTGTATTCGTTAGAAAAATAATTCCTTAGAGGTTTTGGAGAAAGACACACACCAAAGTCTCTGCCAGATGAAGTTCAGAGCCAGAGCTAAATGTGGGATTTGCTAGTTGGTTGAAGTTGTCCTCTTAAAGATGAGACAGAGTTGGAACCAAAGACATGTGAGAGCCCCTTCAGGGCCTTGCCACATGGGCATGGCCAGGCTGTGGCCAGCTGAGCTCCCACTTCTCTCTGATTGACATGGACTGGGATTTGGGGTAGTGATTAACTGTTTGGGAATGAACCAGGTTAACTTAATTTCCCGTTATTCTGTCCAGGGAGTTAATTAGTTGTATTTCCAAGGTGTCTTGGACCTGCAAGTCACAAAACAGCACAAGGCAGTGATGTGGTAGATAACTCAGAGAGCTAACACTGAGTTTTTGGATGCTTTCTGTGCAGGTTTGCTTTGAAGGGCGCTGCCAGAACATGTCCATCATCTTTGATTCTGAGAGCTGCAGCAAGAAGTGCCATGGGCATGGAGTAAGTGTCTTCTTTTTCATCTCCATTCCAGGCTGAAGCAGAATGGGCTTTCATTCTTCTGCAGCTGCTTCTCCAGCTCAGTTCTGATACCTTCCTTAGGTTTGCTCTGTGCTTTGGCTCCTTGGCTATCAGTTTGAGTATTTCTTTCCTGTTTGATGCATTTTCTGGTCCATGAATGTCCCTTTGACATAGGATTTAAGGAGGTCTGTTGGAAGGATATGAATTTCAATAAATGAAAAACAAGGAGTAATCTTAGAGAAAAATATCTTGGGCCCAGTTTAGATTGAATAAAAAGTATTAGCCATACTAAAGAAAAAACATAGCAAAAAGTAACATTTAGGACAGTTTAACCCAAATTCCTTCTATTCCCTGAAGAAAAAGTTTCCAGGCACTCAGCTCCCATTGGAGTCTCTCCTGTAATGTTTAATTCAGCAAGGGCTTAATTTTTCACTTGCAGGTTTCTCAGTAGCTTCCACTTGAATCTCTGAATCTTCCCACTCCAGGTGTGCAACAACAACAAGAACTGCCACTGTGACCAGGGCTGGGCCCCCCCGTTCTGCAACAAGGAGGGGACAGGAGGCAGCCTGGACAGTGGTCCCCCTCTGCCTGAAGGTGAGAGGGACCAGTTCTGCTGCAGGGCTACTTCAGAAGGACTTCTGTTGGTTGGGAGCAGAGAGTTTTCCATTTAACAAACTCCATTTTCTTTGTCCTCAGGCTCTTCAGCAGTTGTGATAGCTCTGGCAGTCCTGGCTCCCATTCTCCTTCTCACAGGAGTCTTGTTTTTATTCTATTATCTGAAATGCTGGAGTAAATTTACCATCTGTTCTCTAAAGAAGACACCTCAGTTCAGGTAAGTTGTCAGTGCTGTGCCTTGTCTCCTTGTCCCCCCTCCTGCCAGGACAGAATTGCAAATGCTGTGAGGAATGTCACTAAATTGATTTGTTGGTATAGTTACTATTGGCTCATTTTTTCACCTCAGTGAAGATAAAATAGTAAATACAGGAAAATAAAGGAGAAAACATATCATGACATTAATACCCTTCTTTTTCTTTCTCTCATTGTCAGTGATGCCTCTGGAACTGGCCATGCAAACCCTGCCTTCAAGCTGAGAACGCCCCAGCAGCAGAGGAAGGTAGGGGCAGGGTCCTTCCACCTGCAGGGCAGAGATGCAGCTGCTCCAAGGTGTGGGATGGGCTTTCCCCTCACACTGGAGCTAGGGAGTGGTTTTATCAAAGGGTGGGAAAAGGAGATGGACATCACCCCGGGCTGAAAGTCAGTGGTAGCTGAGTGTGGCCCCTGTTCCTGGTGATTTCCTTAAAGGTAGGAGCTGGGATTTGACAAGGCTTGTGTGGCTGCTTGTCTCTCCTGCTGGATCCTCTGTTGTCACATCTCAAAACTGGAGAAATGGCAAACCCTGGGTTTATTTGCAAAGTGTCACACTGATGACTGGATTACTCTGTTCTCTTGATTTCCATTTCTGCCTCTTGTTCCCAAGTTGTCCCAGTCCATCTAATCAACACTTACCAGACATGCCCAACACATGCTGGAGTTGCATACCCAACACAAACTGATGTTGCATACCCAACACAAACTGATGCTGCATACCCAACACATGCTGGTGTTGCAGGCAATATTTTCTACTCTGTGGCTCAGAGACCTCACGTGGATCCTCAGAAGTGTCGCAGCGAGTATAAAGGGTGGTTTGAAGTGGAAATACATGAGGATTTGTGGTTTTTCTGCACAGGTGATTGGCTTCCCTGAAATCCCACCCAAGCCTCCTTCTCAGCAAGCTCCAGGGCTGCAGATGAGCAGGCAGCAGCTCCCCACCTTCCCTGGCAGCCCCAGCTGCAGCGGGGGGCAGCCCGCGGGACCGGCGCTGCCCAAGGACATTCCCCGGAGGACACCCCCGAGCAGGCCAGCACCTCCTGCTCCCAAGCCTCCAACCTCTCAGGTATGGAGTCGTGCTGCTGTCCTGTAGATGCTGTTTGATGGCAGGTTTGTTCTGGTGAGGCCTCTCGCCCTGGGGGAATTGTTAGCCTTGACCCAAACTGACCCCATCTTACTTGATCTTCCTCTCCGTGGGGCTATTTTGAAGGTTAAAGGGAAAGATTTATTTCTTTTGCTGGCAGCTCTGTTCTAAACTTACTGTGGACCCCACACTTTTATTGGAAAGATGTAAATCACTCAGACTGGCTTCAACCCATTTTGCAAAATAATATTATTATATTGGGGCCCTCAAAGAAGCAAAGGCCCAGCTACAGCAGGTAGCAGGAGGCTGGCTCACAGGCAGTCTCTCTCTGAAGGACATAGAGGAAAACAAACCCTGTGGAGCAAACTCTTAGCGAATGGGGTTTGTTTCTAGCTCCATTGTTCCTGTGAACAGCCGGCACTTCAGCAGGAAAGAAAACTAAAACAAAAGCAGGAAGCTGAGTGCTGTCAATAAGGAATAGGTATCCTTCCCAGCTGCTTGTTGACAAGTTCCCCATGATCTCCTTTGTGCTCCCTCCCCAACACATCTAGTCTCTTTATCTCAGTCAGCCTTATGAGATGGAACCCTTCTCATAGGATTTCCACAAGAAGCCTTGCTGTTTCTGGGTTAGTGGAGAGCCATGAGTTGGGGAAGACAAAGGGGAAATAATTAATGTCACTTTTTGCTAGTTGCATTGGCCTTCCTGGATGTTTGCAGCATCTGCCAGATTTGCTCTCTTGCTATTCCTATAGGAGCTATTCAGACCTGGCAGTCAGTGGAATTTAGTCTGCCTTGTCCTTCCCTGAGTCACAGGGCAGGATCCTTGGAGAGCAATAGATCCCCAAGCCATCAAGCATTGCATTTATGCATAGTCTGAGGAGACTGCAGGGGTTTTGGGTGCCCTCCAAGTCGTGAGTGCAGCTGTGTTTGTTAAATCAACACCTGTAAGGCAGCAGCTTAGCACAGACCCTGAGCAACAACAGGCAATTGGCTCTTGTGGGGGTAACCTCTCCCACTGGGACATGCTTTCCACTGAAATTCATTAGATGAATGGAAAATATAATGCTCTGAGCATCCTATTAGGGACAGCTGTGTGCACAAACAAATAATAACAGCTTGTGGGTCTCTGTGTGTTTGTATGGGCACAAGAACATGCACATATATAGTGTTTACAGGCATTGTGTAGGCAAACAAACAGTGAGTGTATATGTGTGGAACTTGCTTCCAGCCATGAAGTACACCAGTTAAAGTGACTAATTAAAAATGCTCTGGAACACAGGTTGCTTATTATTTCCAAAATGTAAGGCTTAAATTCAAAACTATTTCTTTCTTCTGTAGGATATTGCAAGGCCCCGGCCGCCCCAGAGAGCTCTGCCAGCGAATCCCATCCCATCCAGGTCCAGAGGCTGGCAGGGGAGCAGCCCTGCTGTCCCACTGCCCCCCGGGCACAGCAGAGCCCCTGGGCACCTCCAGCCTGTGGCAGAGGTAAGCACTGAGAGGGGTGGTGGGAAGCACCACTCACCCCTGAGGAATAAAAGCACTCAGAAGGGAATATCGGCCTGCAGAACACCTTTGGCACAGCCCAGTGGGTGCACACAGAGAGGCTGTGGGTGGGTCACCTTTATTGCAGGGGTCTCTGTTTTCACCTGTTTCATAGTAAGAATTTAGGGAGTTGAGCAAAGTAGTGAATTCAGTCCTCACAGCCCTGAACACTTCCTCAGGCAAGGCGTTTGTGTGAGTGGGGCAGAGCAGTGGGGTCAAGGGCTGTGGGACCCAGAAGTGTTAGTGAAGAGCAGCAAAACATGAAGATTCACACAAGACTTGAAGATCCCAGTAAAGAACAAAAATTCTTTCCAGCCTCTCTAGCTGTGGCTAAGGAGATGCTTTCTCTGCAGGGAGTGTTTCACAAAAATCATCCTGAATAGGGGACTTACTAAGGGACTTCTAGGCACTGAGTTCAGTGCTCTGCAAACTGGGCCCTTTAACACAAAACATCTCCACTCCACACAGCACAGTTATGTGTCTGCAGCCTGCAATACACTGGAGTCCAGCTGTAGAAAATGGAAAAACTTCCAGGAACTCCTTGTGGGAGAGTTCCTATGTGATGCACTGGGTTGTGAATGCAGACGGGCTAACATCAGCTACAGGAGAGGGCAAGGACGGTGCTTGTTCTTCCATCAGTGCTCACTCCTCTTCTTTCCCCCTTTTTCCATCTCACCCAGGGTGCTGGTGCCTGGACAGCTGGAGCAGTGAGCAACTTGAAGGTGGGACAGCCAGGCTCCCGTGGGCATTCCTGAGGCAGCCTGTTCCTGGCTGGCTCTGGCCTTCGCCGGGCACTGGATGGTCTTCATCACCCAAAAACACTCTCACACCTTCACTGCCAAGGACAGTGTCTCAGTTCCTCTCTCCTGCCCCAGCCCTGCTCCCTCTGTGACTCGCCAGGCTGCAGTCAGGCATGGCAGGGGTGCCCCAGGTACACGCCAGGCTCAGCTGGACCCTCTCTGCCTTTTCCACATAGGGATGACTCGTTTATACGTTATTTAAATATTGTTGTGCAATATCCACTGCAGGGGTGGGGTGATGGGGGTTTCCACATGTTTTTAATCAGTTATTTAAGTATTACCAGGGAGAACAAGCTGTGAGTGCAGGTGCTGGCCTTGATGGGCTTTCATGTGAGCCCTGTTGGCTTCCTCAGCACCCCCAGCAGCTGCAGGAGCATATTGGTGCTATACAGAACCCACTGCCTCTGGGGAGAGCAGCTGGTGATAACAATCTTCAGTTTATTCTCTGTTTACAGGGGGTGGCAAATGGGGCCCCAACAGGGAGCCAACTGTGGAAATACAATTTGTGGGGCCACTGTGGATTTTGGTCAGCTTTAGCAGAGGGGATTATTTTTATTTCATTACTTTCCCCATATAACCCTCTTCAGCAGGAACATTGCAACCCTTCCGTCCTCCAGCACTTGCTTGTCTTGCCCTGGTGCTGTAAATCCCAAAAGCAGCCCCAGCATGGCCCATGAGCTCCAATCCAGGTCTTTAGGGCACACTCAAGGTACGACAGGGCAGCTCTGGCCCAGAGCCAGGGCAGAAGGCCAGCAGGAACTCAGCAGAAGGCAGTGCCCAGACCCCTCTGCAGCGCACGGTACCGTCAGCAGGAGATGTTTTTGCACGTGTCTGTGCTGAGCTGTAACTCAGCATGGGCTGTCTGCTCCCCAAACCACTGAGAAACCTACCTGGAAAACGCCCAGGTGGTGAAACAGCTGAACTGTTAACACAACACATGGTGCTTTTGTAGGGCAGCTCTCTTACTTCAGGCTTTTTCTCCAGGCCATGGATGGAGAGAGCTGTCTGTGAGCACTTTAAGCAGCTGATAGTTCTGACCCTGAGGACCCTCCCTTATGAATTTAATTTTTTCTTCTCCTAATAGTTTGGCTTTTGTATGTGGTTTTTTTTTTTTTGGTTTTTTTTTTTTTTTCTCCTCAGGATTTTAAAATAAGACCTTCTGTTATGCCAGATTTTTTTTTTCCTTGAAATTATTTCCTAGGAGAACACAGGGAAATCTGGAGCTGTAGTTACAACAGCCCTCTTGTGTCTGACTTATATGGACAAAGCCTCAAACAGCATGACTGCTGCTCCACATGTGAGAAACTGTATTAGTCTCATAAAGAAAATGTCTTGTTTGCTGGTTCTCTTTCCCTAAGATCTACTCATTAAAGAAATCCCAGATAAACCCCAAGAACTCATTAAAGTTGTAGTTATATGTAGTAGTGTACCTGTAGGATGACTTAAGTCACATTAGTTTTCACAACTTTACTACCTCTTTCTCCACAAGGAAACAGTTCACATGGTGTGTCTTGAAATTCTCACAGGTTATTCCTTATTTTACTAATTTTAAACCTTTTCTTACCTTTTATGTGCCTGGAAAACAAACCAATCAAAAAAACTTCTTTCTGAAATAAGGGAGGTCAAGTAAAAGACAACAGCTTTCTAATCTTTGCCTTTTTCAATAGTTGGGGTATATTACGTATAAAACGGTGTGTTCAAACAACCCCCAAACTTGTTTCTTGGTATGTAATGGCAGGTTTGGCTGCTCACAGTGCAGCAGGACTGTACATACACTGTAATTGTTGATTCAACCACAAGATCTCATAGCTGAGCCCTCACTGAGGGCAGCAGCACTTCTGCTCCAACCCCTGATCTTCAGCAAATGGCCACTGAAAGTCACTAAAATTATTTTCACTGCTTTTCATGTGAGCATGGGATCAAGGTTTCAAAAAATGCCCCCACACAATGCTCAGAGAACAACTGGACATGCCCAAACTCTAACAGAAAACTTTATTGCTGGAATATCACAAAAATCTCCAAAAGGTAGTTTTAAGTAAGTCCTTTTAAATTTTCAGATGTGTGCAAGTTGAGTGAATGAGACCAGGGGAACTGCAGGAGGAGTAAAAAATGTCAAACCTGATTTTTTGAAAGATAATATTACTTGGGAGAACTTATAACAAATACATCTCACTTTCTCCTATGTCCACATGTTAATGGTTTACAACAATGCTCTCTATGCATCTATGCAAATACTTGAATAATGCAATTTATTGTGCCTTTTGCCTAGTTTTAATAAAATTTGTTGGTTGTCATTAACAAATACTCTTTCACTGTCTATTATTTCATTACCTCAGTTCAAATCTTCATTTTCTACATGGCATTTCTCCAGGGACGGCAGGATTGCTTTAATGAAATGCACTTCTAGACTGAGGAAAGATGAGTCCCATTTACAGCCATTTTCTAAAATAAAATGCACCAAGCCTCACACTGATTAGGATGCCAAAACCAAAGCTGGAGTGAGTGACTTGGATTATTTTCTGCCACCAAAGGAGGTCGCTGCAGTTTTAGTCTGCTCCAGATGCTTTTTCTGTTGTTCTCAGCCTCTTTATCCTTTAGGGCTACATTAGTAACATGAAATAATGAAAAACTTTCAGATCTACCTGCAACTTTTTCAACTTTTTTTATTTTGAAAAAACCCTTTATTTCCCTTTCCACATTCCAAAAAGATAGCATTGAAATGTTATTAAAATAGGAGATTGCATTGTCATCTCTCCCAAAGCCCCACAATATATTTGCTCAGTGATGCTCACACCCAGGTATAATCAGGTGAGCATCTCAGAGGACAGCAGGACACCTCATGGGGCTTAAAGAATTTGTGGGGTTTTCCAATGTCAATATATTTCTTGAGGAAAAAAAATACTGTATATTTACAGCCACTTGGTCTTTCAGACTGAAAAAAATTGTCACAAGAAGTCTTGGAGACAGTGGTAGAATTTCTCTTGACATGGGGTTTACCCTGCCAGAGCTCCCCAGCCCTTCCTCATGTGGGGTCTAGGTCAGTCCCAGCAACTTCACCAAGGCCTGGGCACCAGGGCTGCTCAGGAAAAAAAAAAAAACAACAAAAAACCCAAACAAACAAAACTCCTATAAAAATAATTAACACTGCTTCAGGGAAACTCCTGCACCTCACAAAAAACCAAAAGCTGAAAAAGATCTCTCTGTGAAAACACTTCATGGCTTGAGTCCTGCCCCTGAGCCTGAGTGAGCAGCTTTTGCAAAATTCACCATGTTTTGCCCATATTCACCAATATTCTTGTCCCCTTATTTGCAGAGCAAGTGATTAAACATGGATGAGCAGAGTCTGAATAGCACCGTGCAGTCCTTGTCTCTTACCTCCTCTTGAGATGCTGGTGTGTATTTTAGAGTTCATGCAAGTGTCTAGAAAGGAAACAAAAAAAGACAAAACCACTGATCAATGATCCATCAAGGCCTGGAAACAAAGACATCAATGGCCACCCAGGGGAAGGAGTGAAGGGTAAACATCAGCCGTGCCAAGAACAAGAGAGGGAAGGGGCCTCAGAGAGGAGCTTTGCTCCAGCACTATCATATTTCTAGAGGATTTTTGTTTCCAGTGGCTGCATGTATTAGGGCCCAGAGAGGATTAAACACACCCCTTGCTGCCACACCATGACAGAGATCCTGTCCAAAAGCCTGGAGAAAGATTTGACTTTGGAAAAGACACTGTTCATTTTATTTTCTGCTTTTCCTTTTCAAAATTTTCCCCTGGCACTTCAAATATTGATATCACCCACCCAACCTCCAGTCCCCTGCATGTAATACCCTAAGTGCAGAGCATAAATACTTTGGGTTTATCCTCTGGGGCAATGCTGGAGTTGTCCACCTCTATCAGGATGTTCTTGTCATCTCTGGTGACCGGAGCTGGCTGTTCGTTCTGAAGGACTTGGGGTAGATTCCCTAAACTGACATCCATGTCCTTGAAAGCGTGGAGTAAAAACACCCCCAAAATGATGGTGAGGAAGCCACAGACTGTCCCAATGATGTCAATCACAGTCATGGTGACCCACTCCTTAAAGAGGATGATGGAAGTGGTGATGACGATGGTGGTGAACAGCACGTAGTAGATGGGGAACACCAAAGAGGTGTTGAAAATGTCCAGAGACTTGTTGAGGTAGTTGATCTGCGTGGTGATGGATGCCACCAGTGTGATGACCAGGATCCAGGTCAGTGGGTGCTGCAGCACAGGCTGGCCAGCAAAGAAGCCCTTGATGGCAATTCCCAAGCCCTTGACTGAGGACACGGAGAAGGCGCCGATAACGGAGCAGATGGCGAGGTAGATGAGGATGTTGCTCTGGCCGTAACGGGGGCCGAGGTAGAAGATCAGGAGGAAGCAGAGAGCCAGGAGGATTGCAGCATAAGCCAGGAAACCTGCAGCAGGGAGAGAAGAACTCAAAACTCCAGCAGTGGGCACGGAAAGAGGTTTGCACTGCCCGGCCCTGAGAGGGAAAGCACGGCTGGCTGCGTACCCGGCTCCTTCAGCTTGGAAGTCATCTCCTCCAGAGTGGTGACCTCCTCATCCTCTGGGGCGTGTATGACCATCACAGTGCTGCCCACCAGGCTCAGCAGGCAGCCCAGCTTTCCCAGCAGGTTGAGCCGTTCTCCAAGCAAATATGAAGACAGAATGGCACTGCACAGGACAGAAAAACATCAGCCAGACAGAAAAACAACAGCCGGACAGAAAAACATCAGCCGGTGCTCTGCACTCCTTTGAAGGAGGAGCAGCAGCTCTAGGAAAGTTAAGAATGCTTCCATGTGATACAAGGACACAATTTTGGTGTAAATCAGTTGGATTCCAGTGGGTTAATACACAATCACGACATCTATCACAGCCGAACCTGCAGGGGTGCAGGTGTGACCTGTAGATCACAGCTCTTGTGTCAGCAAGGTGCAAAAATGCTGAATGTTTTAGCACATCCTCAGAAATATTTTTTTAGGGTTGGCAGAATCATTCAGGAGCTGCTGAGCATTATGAAGCTCTTAGTGCTCAAGAAAATTACTTCAAGGGCCAATGTAACAGAGAAAAAACCTGAACCTAACAACAAAAAAAGCTATGTTAATTTTAACTAAATCATGAGAACCATTAGAAAGAGAAACTCTAAAAGTACTGGAGCTACAGATATATCTGCAAAAATATCTAGTTTTTGTCCAAAAAATATCAGGGGCAAAACACCAGAGCAGTCCTCACTCTCAGTTTGCCTATGCATTTCACAATACAGTCCTTCTATAAAACTCTAAGCTTAATGTATTTTGGTAGGAATCTCCTATTTAAAAATAAAGAAATTAAATAGGGTTTTGGCCCTTTTGGGAACAGCCAGAAATATAAAACCCTGCAACATGAGAGGACCCTAAAAGCTTGTAAAATAAAAGGCAGGTGAAAGGCACTTTGAAAACAAGCCTGGTATTTTTGACCCTTTTAAATTGTTAGTACTCTTGATTACAAACACAAAACGAAACAAAACAAACAAACATTAAAACCCCACCAAACCTGAGTGGTTAAAGAGCTGGAATAAGGAATGAAGTAATGCAGATATTTGCAATAATTTAAACTGCAGTGTATGTGGTTGCTCTACACATCCAGCATTTCCAGAAGGACAGGCTACTTAATTCAATGGCTCCCAAGTGATCCCTCAAAAAGGACAACAACTGTTAAAGTGTTTTTTAGAAAACACTGAGACTTTTTTCCCTTTGAGCAGAATAAATCATATTCATATCCTTTCAAGTCTATTTTTACAAGTCAAACAGGCAAACCAGAAAAAAAGAAAAAAAGGCAAATTTCAATTTAGACACACAAAAATCACCTTATGAGCACGCTCAGAGCCCCCAGAGGCGTGACAATAGTTGCAGGAGCAAAGGCATAGGCAGCAAAGTTGGCAGCTTCCCCTCCACCCACTAAACAAACACAAGAAAAATAAATACCAGTGAGTTCCAGAGCATTTTCTGCATTTTCTCTTGGGGGTTTGCAAACCAGCAAGATGTCACTTGGAGAGTGGGTTTTATGCTGGGGGTTTCATCCTGCTGATAACCAGGGGCAGACAGTGGGTGAAAATCTATTTCAAATTAAAAGAGGCACCCCTGGAGAAGGGAAGCCCTCCATGGGAAGGGCTGGGGGTGCCAGGGCTTGGCCAGGTCAGGGCTAGGAACCCCCAGCCCAGCCAGGCTGTGTGGAGGCAACGAGGGAGGGGTGGCTGTGGGAGCCCCAGCAGCTTCCCCTCCACCCACTAAACAAACACAAGAAAAATAAATACCAGTGAGTTCCAGAGCATTTTCTGCATTTTCTCTTGGGGGTTTGCAAACCAGCAAGATGTCACTTGGAGAGTGGGTTTTATGCTGGGGGTTTCATCCTGCTGATAACCAGGGGCAGACAGTGGGTGAAAATCTATTTCAAATTAAAAGAGGCACCCCTGGAGAAGGGAAGCCCTCCATGGGAAGGGCTGGGGGTGCCAGGGCTTGGCCAGGTCAGGGCTCAGGAACCCCCCAGCCCAGCCAGGCTGTGTGGAGGTAATGAGGGAGGGGTGGCTGTGGGAGCCCCGGTGCAGGGAGGCTGCTTGTCCCCTCCACACCTCTCCTTGGGGCTGTGGTGTCCCCCTCTGGCTGGGCTGTCCCTGTCCCTGAGCAGTGAGGGCAGAACCAGCTGAGGGCACCTTGAGCTGCAGCTGCCAGGGTGAGAGCCAGAAAAGGGTTCTGAAACGGGCTGCTGTACAATCTGCTTCTCTGTCCAGCTTTGAGCTCAATTTTAGGAGATACTGTAAAGCTCTGAGTCCAATTTTAGGAGACACAAACAGGAAATAAAGATTTATTAGTCTTGTTTGAAGGGAAAGCAAGTTTTTTCAAAGAAGGAGGTGCTACCAACACCTCTTTGTTATCTCCCTGTGCTGCAGCAGGAAACATTCCAGGAGCCCCCAGGCACCCAGGGGAGGCTGTTTGCCCTGTGCCTGGTACACAGACAGACCTGCCAGCTGCCCTATTAAAACCTGGCTTCTCATGCTTTTGATCAGGTAAAACTGAGCTAGCAGGCTCTGCCAGTCCTGCAGGAGGATGGGGAGGGAGATCCTGTGTGGATCTCTGCCTCTCCTCTCCCCGAGGAACCTCTGCTGAGGATGGGGGAGCTTGACAGAAAGCAGGCTTTAAGCACCATCCTCAGTTTGTTCCACACCTCATTCACAGGAACAATCCCTGGAAAAGCTGCAAACCCAGGGAAACAGTTCCTACTTACTGGTTAACAAGCCAGCCCACCAGAGCCAG